GTCTTGCTTGTGATGGTGCCGAGACCGTTTGTGTTGGGTGTTATCTGCAGAGCGCTTCACAACAGCCTCCAGTGCCTCTGGGCTGTCTGTTGGGCTGTGCAGGCAGCCTGGCACACGAGGGGGTGCTCATCCTGCAGCCCGGTGAGGAGGCTGGCCAGGAGCTCCCGGTAACGAAGACGTTCAGGTGAGGGTTGGAAGGATCCGGTCGCTGGGCAGGCCTGCTGCAATCCCCTCGGAGCCTGGCTGCTGGGGCCCGGGCAGTGACACTCGGTGACCATCACCCTCTGCACGTGGTTGGGTCACGAAGAGTGAGGAGCAGCAGCCTTGTAGCTCCCTGTGAGCCTCTGGCAAGGCAGGTGAGGGCGAGCGGCTGCGAAGGAAGGTGTTAACCTCTTCCAAGGAGCCTTGCACAACTCCCTGTCGAGGAGCAGGGCTGAGCTGCACAGTGGCAATAGCTGCTGGCTGTGTTAGTCATCCAGAAAGAGACTTGTTTTTCCTTCCCCCCCCCTCCCCGCCCTGGCACGGGCCCTAGAGGTTCTTTCTCACTGCTTGGTGTGGCCAAAACTGAGCAGAAGAAACACGTTATCTCCATGGGAATCTGACAGCTTTCCCCTGAAATCACGAGCTGCTGTTTGTGCCGCTCCAGTGGTGAGCTTTGGCACTTGGGGGGGGTTGAGTTTTGCTGTGTATGCATCACGAATGCACGCAGACGTGAAGGTGCGTGTGCGTGTTCGCACCTCCTGCCCCGCGAACGTGGGGACGGGCGAGTCCCTGCTAAGAAGATGCAAAGCGGAGGGTACAGGATAGAAACCTGCAAGGTTGGGCTTGCTACCTGTGGTAGTTGCACCAAGGACCTGGGTGGAGTGGAGGGGTTTGTGCCCACCAGTCGCTGTCAGAGGTGGGGCAGTGTGCTGCTGCTGCGGCTGCTGCTGCAGAGGGGAAGAGTAATTCCTCTTGTAATCGAAATTGCTCAACCAGGATGCTTAACCAAGAAGGCCCCTGGGGTCAGAGGAAGTCACCAGGGTTATCTTGGTTGGACAAAGGTTTTTTGGGGTGTCCAACTCAGCACCTTCATTTTCAGACAGCTGGGTGGGAAATGAGCAGCCTTTGTTGGGTGAGACATAAAAGCCTTCGTGTCTCTTGGAGGTGAAGGCTTGAAGGAGCCTTTGGAGAAGGCATTTTGACTCGTGAGTCACTGCTCTTGCAGGGGTTTGTCTTTCACTGCCTGCTTAGTGAAGCGTGGTTAACAGCACCTTTCCCCTCCTCTGGAGCATTCGGCCACTTGCAGGTTGGTCGTTGGCTGAGTGTGAACCAAGACATCACCGCAGAGGAGCGCAGCTTTTGAGCTTTACACTGCGGCGTAGCCTTGAGGACAGGTAGGGCCTGGGAAGTGGCTGCATTTCTCACCCTCCTGAGCGGTTCTGGGGGTCTCCAAGCCTTAACAGACCTACATGAAATCCAGCTGCTCGTGTAGCACATCCAATAGAGCTCAGCACTCAAGGCAGAGCGCTGCAAAGCGGTTTCTCCTTCCTGGGTTGTTTCGGGAGGAGCCTGGGTTGTGTGTGTGTAGCCACTGGGGTTTTGCCTTCTCTCCTCCCTTGTGTTCATAGCATGAAAGATTCATACCAGCCCCTCAGGTGTCCCGTGGCTTTAGTGGGGTTCAGACTGTGCTCCTCGTAGTGGAAGAAGGAACTTGAACCGATGGGAGACGTTCTCATTTTGGTACAGGATGCTGTGTCCAGGAAAGCTGTTTGGATTATTTATTGCACTGGAAGTTATTTGGTCTTTCCCTCCCCTGTAGGATGATTTCAGACACTGGAGCTGTCCTTCAGCCACAGAGGATCCCCCCCAAAAGCACATTATCGCTCAAAAATCGGGGTTTTAGACAACAATGCTCATCACCAGAGAGAGGAAATGTCTGCTTGCTGCCTTCTTTTAGACAATTGAATTAGAACCCCCGAAGCAGCAGGAAGGGAAGTCGGAGTTTCGCTTCCTGCAAGCTGAAGATTTGCATGGGTTCAGCAATGACAAATACATGAGCTCATGCTTAGACGGGCTCTGCATCTGCCACGCACGTGGCAAAGGTGAGCTCAAAGTCTCCCTGCTTGTTAGGACCTGAGTTTGATGTCTGTGGCAGTGACAAGCGTTTGCCTAACCCTGGCAAGGGCTGCCTCCCTGCTTGGGCAATACTCTTTGCTCTGCGAAGAACTGGGGGCTTGCTGAAAGATGGGAGTGAAAAGTAACTTCCAGGGCAGGCTGGAGGTGGGATAGCCCAGAGCTGTGCGTGCGTGTACCTGACACTGCTGTAAAACCTGGAGCCACGAGGCCTGCCTTGTTTCAGGGTGGGAAGGCTCCGATGTGTGGTGCTGGGAGCAGAGGAGCCGCCTCCAGTACTGCTTTTGCAGGGGCAGTTAGGGGGTGTTAGGGGCAGTTACCTGCTTTAGTGCTTGGGGAAGAAGAGCAGGGTTGACTTGGGTAAGGTGGTCTGGCAATGGGTTGTGCTGCTGTCATTAGACACAGCCCAGAACCATAGAATGGTTTGGGTTGGAAAGGACCTCAAGGTCATCCAGTTCCAAGCCCCTGCTATGGGTAGGGACACCTCACATTAAACCATGCCCCCCATGCTGCTTAATTGTTTCTTCCTTATATTCCAACTGCATGTTCTTGTCCCATCCTTTGTGCTGAGAGCAGGCTCTGAGCTGGTCCTGCCACCTTCTCATCCATGACAAACCTCTGCTTTTCAGTCTGGTCAGGCCCTTTGCTCTACCTGCTTTGAGGTCACAAAGCTGCTCGTGATAATAGAAACAAGGGGCAGCTGAGGTCTGAGCTGACTTCAGTTTCCCCAGACCCATCATAGTCAGGTAAGAAGGGAGAAATCCCCTGGTGTGGAGAGAAATCCCCTTGGAGGAGGTGTCCCCCTTGTGCTGGCCTGCTGGGAAGGAAGATGGTCGGCTGTGCCCCTGTGGTGTGACACCTCTGCCCTCAGAACAGGCCTTTGGGTTCTTGTTCCATATAGCAGATGGGGGGAGAGGAAAGCAGAGCCCACTCTCAGCCACTCTGATTGCTGCAGGATGCCACCACCCTTCCTCGGCTCACACACGCTTTATTTTTAGGCTTGCCTCTCAACTCCAGCTCATTCTTTCTTAGGGTGACAAGGACTTTCCTCCCGCAGCTACCCAGGGGCACATCAGAAACCACAGCCCTGCCTGGGGATGCTTCCCCTTCCTGCTCACGTTAACCAGTTCATTCACCAGCGAGGGATGGGAGGCAGCACCTGGAGCACGAGAAGGGAGAGGACCAACTGGTATCTGCTCTGAGATGGGTGGGAGAAGCTGCACTTAGTGAGGCCTCATAATGATTTACTTCCCTCTCATTCCAGTTTATCTCCCTCCCAGCCCAGATCCCTTTGGCACTGAGGGCTTTTAAATGTATGTGCCTAGCTGAAGCACTCGCAGGCAGGGAGGAATGCTTAACAGCCATGCTTTATTGGAGCTTGGGAGTGATGAAGAGGCTTTGCACAGTGACTTGGAGAAGGGATTACAGGAATGCCCTGGTGTCCACCTGGCTGTGACTAGGTGGGAGATGCCTCTCCTGCTTTTGGGCTCACTGCAGATGAATGACCCCCTCCTGTAACGAGGGCCAGGTGTTTTTAATTGACTTTTCAAAGAAGATTTAAACCTGAGATTGGTCCCAGTCCCCAGAGAAGTGAGAAAGGAAACTTTGTTCTCTGTCTTGCTGGTGAAAGGCACTAAAATGGGTTAAATCTATCCTAGAAATGCACTTTTTCTTTGGCCTGTAACTTGTTCTGTGTATATTTAGCTAGGATATTTGTGGCCTGAGGTGCAGCCTTTCACGGTTCTTGGTGGGCTGAGTTGCACTGGGTTGTAAGTCCCAGTTTTCTTAACGTTCAGGAGCTTCACTGTTTGAAGGCTTGGTTCCGGGTCACCTCTGAAGGGGCACAGGGAATTGCTGAGAGGTTGGTGGCTTTCTGCACATCCCTGGTTCTGTTTCCCGTTGTGTGTGCCCTGGTGCAGAGCTCCTGCTCCCGCAGGCTGCAGCTCTTGCACAGATGAGCTCCCTGCACTCGGGGCAGATGGGGCTTCTGACCTAGCTGTGGTGAGCAAGCCCTCATGTTTATTGCAGGAGCCATGGCTTGAGGCTGTTATTGTCTGCAGTTGTATTGTGGTGTTGAGCTCTTGAGGTGCTCCTGACCACTGCTTGTACCTCTGGGCCGGATGCTGAAACTCGCCTAATACTTTCTCTCTAGGGAGAAACCATGACAGATGTGTTTAGTGAAAGCAGAAATGATGCTTCAGTTTAGCACTCAAATGTCAAGCCGCGGGTCTTCTGGTTTGCTATGGGGCTCCTTCCTTTCTCATTCCATGGTTGCCATTAAGAGACAATGTTTTGTGAAGGATATTGATCATCCCTGTGTGCCTTGAGGCATGGCTTAGCTGGGGAGGCCAGGAGGAAAAGGTCTGTGCACATTCATCCTGCCACATAGGCCTGGTTGAGTGGCAGAGCTGGATTAGCCGTGCAGCACACCACGACTACCATGGCAGTTACTGCTTGTACCTCAGGGGTCGGTGGTGTGGCCACCAGAGCTGCCATCACTGCCTCTCCCCACAGCAGTCTGCACAGGGACGTGGTGTTTCATTACTGATTGCCCTTTCAGTGTGAAAGTGAGCAGTAAAACATTACAACATCATTTCGCACATGAACGTTGGTTAAGTCACGTTCAGGTGTATCCAGTGGAGTTAAAGCAGTTGGGCTAAGTGTTAAAATAGAGGCTACTACTTAACCTGTTGGTGACTTGGTTACTCTATAGTGCATCAGCAGAGGAAGGAAAGCAGCTCTTTTTCTACTTAGTTTATTTTACAGGCTTTTTTTCCTGCAGGGCTGCTATGAAGCTGGGTTGGTCAGCAGGCAGCTCTTGATATCAACTATTCTCATACATATGAGATGCATCCTATGGAGGAAATACCATGGAAAACCAAAGGTACTGTTTAAAAAACGGTATAATTTATTGTCCAAATATAGCAAAATACAGTCAGTTTTCAGACCTCAGCAGGGAACCTCGAGTCAGGATCTTGGGCCGCTGTTGATGGGATTCATCTCGGGAAGTGGCAAAGTTGTTTTGTCTGTTCAATCGGCTGGCTGATAAAAACCTGAAGGGTTCTCAGTCTGTAGAAGGGGAACAGCTTTTATCAGTCAGGGGACAAGTGCAGTTGCATGTTCTGCAGGTCTCCTTGCTAGAATAAGTTAGGTGGAAGTATTTTGTGGGAGAAGTTATGGTTATAGCAGTGTATTTTCAGGGTACGTTCAGGTACACATTTATCTTCCTCCGTACAAAGCAGCTTTACATATATGCGTATACATTGAGAATACATTGTTAATGATGAAGAAAACTAACCTGAGCCTGTATTATGGGTATTCCTTGCTCTGGCAGGGTTGTCCTTAGCCCAGGGTCTTGCCTGGGTGAGGATTATAGGAGCAAACCCCGGACAACTGACTCGTCAGTGTCGGCTGTAAGCCCCATGTCAGAGGTCAGAGAAGCAGCACTTGTGCACGTGTTACATGGACATCCTACCAGCAAATGCATTGAACAGTTGGATGGGGGGCAGGCAGGTGATGAGGAGCAGAATGTGCTTTCTTCCCCATTCCCAGCTCTTGGCAACATCCCGTACCCCAGAGCCAAAGGGTTTATGAAGAAGAATGGATTTAAGTGTGATGGCAGGCAGCTGTGTAACTGGCAGCCTTGTCTGAAACCCAGCTAACGGAATTCTTTCCTCGGGAGGTTGATTGTAATTCTCGTGTCTCTAAAGGAATGTTTGTCAAGCTATGATCCGGAGCGTTCCCTGCAGCGCTCCTCATGGATCTACCTGTGCTATTGAAAAAGGTACAAACGTCTTCTTCGTGGGGCTCGGTATGTCCGTGGGAACACGCCTCATGTGTTGCACAAAGCTGCTGTTCTGGAGGGTGAGGCTCTGCACCCACGCCAGCAGTTCCCAGGGTATTCGTCTGTCCTTAGGAATCTTGGCCCCTGCAGTAAAAGCACCAGCTGGCATTTCATTCTGGGCTTCTTTTCCAGGTCTTACTTTACGTGACAATAATCTGTTGTTCAGCTGCCACTTTCCTTTCAAGTGCTGACCCTGGCAGCAATCTTGAACACGTCACCGTCCTTTGCGTTGAAATCACACCAGCGAATGGCATCTTTCTGAGCAGGGGCTGTGCGACTGCCAAACACGTTTTCAATAGCTTATAAGTGAAATACATACCTGACTTAAAGCCAGCTGCTAAAGGCCTTCTAGAAGGACACGTTGATTGGGAAGGGAGAAGAAAACCCCACGTTCCTGCTTATCTCTGGAGGTCAGCAAGCAACAGCACAGAAGGCCCCATGTGTACGTGCCCACCATGGCCCATAAGGCCAGGTACAAGCAAGCTTCAGATACTGGTAGACTGGAGCGGTTGGACCATGGGCACAACTACATCCAGAATTTGAATGTTTTGCCTTAAGAAATGCCTGGGTTTGCCCTGGGCTTGAATCTTTAAAATCCTGAGGATCCTGGCACCTGGTTATTTGGAGCTCATCGGCCTTGGGCCCTTTCAGAAGCAAAAGGAGACTTTCTTTCCAGGGTGAAGCAGCATTTCTAAAGAATTCAAGTCAATATTGGGATGGAATCACTTGTGCTCCTTAGGAGGCACCTTCTTTATAGGTGAAACACCCGATGCAGGTGGAACTGGAGTGGAATTTGTACTTTCCTTGAGAAACATATGAGTTTCCACAATAATATATGAAGTTATTGAAATGATATCTATCATATGTATAGCTTTAGGATTAGTTATGGACATTTCTCACTTTTCATGGGCGAAGGCAGGGTGAAGATTGGTGTGCTTGGATACTTCACAGCTTACAAGCTTGGAGCCTGAGGCTGCTCGTGCTGTTCTGGCTTGAAGAGTGGATCAGTTCCACGGGCATCATTTCTGTAGGTATGGAAGAGCAATAGGCAGTCCTGTTAAAAGCAACATTCAAAGCAAGGATGATGCTCTCGGAAGTTCTTGTTTAGTTCTTGTCTGCTTCTCTTGGTATTCGTTGCTTTTAGGGAGAATGTTCTGAACATTTCTCATTTTGACTAGGAAAGACTGAAATAAAGGTGAAATGATGGGATAAGTTCTAGACTCACCAGGCTCCCTCTGCCTTGCCCTGCTGTTAGTCCCAGCTTTACTGGAGTCTCTCCATCCATGGGAGTATTGGCTAGCAGTGCTTGTTGCCTGAAGCAGGCAGAGCCTCCTGGGTTCTCCTCTTTCCTACAGTAGTGGCAGGTCTTGCTCTACCAATAGCTCAGAACAGAGGATGTGTACAGGACTACTGCAGCTCGGCCAAAGCCTGCCTGGAGCTCGGCTCATGGGGAGAACGTGGTGGTCGTCTCTGTCTCCATGGCGTAGGAGAACCTCTTGCTCTCGCGGCAGGTTGAGAGCTGCAAGAGGCGCTGCTGGCTCAGGCAGCCCAATTCCTTCAGGAGCTTGAAGAGGTCGTTGCGGAATTTGACGCCAATGAAGGCATAGAGGAAAGGGTTGAGGCAGCAGCGGAAGCAGGCCAGGGTGTAGGTCACGTCATCTGCCACGTCGAGCTGCTTGCTCTCCTCACACGAGCTGGTGTGGTTGAAGGCTGAGATGGTCTTGGCCAGCATGACACCGTTGTAGGGCAGCTGGAAGATAACAAAGACAATTACCACGGCGATGATGACTTTGATGGCTTTGTTCTTCTCAAAGTTGCGGGCCTGCAGTAATGTTTTGATGATGATGAGGTAGCAGGCAGACATGACCAGCAAGGGAAATAAGAAGCCAAAAACCATCTGGGACACTTTGATGCCGGCGTTGAAGGTCTGCAAGTCGTGAGCGATGATGGAACAATGGGGATTGTTGTCCACGTTTTTTACACCGCTGTGAACCAGCTCAGGGATTGAGAGGATGAAGGCCAGGAGCCAAATGAGGGTGCATGTAACCTTGCTAATGAATATCATCTGGGGACGAAAGCGGTGGGCTGAGGCAGCCTGGACAATGGCAAAGTACCTGTCGATGCTGATGGACAGGAGGAGCAGCATCCCACTGAAGAAACTCATTCTGCAGATGCAATACACAGCTTTGCAGGCAAACTTCCCAAAAAGCCAGTGCTTGGCTACAGTTGTGGCCCAAAAGGGGAGGGTCAGCAGGAAGAGGATGTCTGCCAGGGCCAGGTTCAGCAAATAGATGTCTGTCATGGTTTTGAGCCTCTTGAAGTAGATGTAGGTGAGCACCACCAGCCCGTTCCCCAGCAGCCCTGTGAAGCAGATGAGGGCGTACATGGCTGGGAGGAAGGCAGCGCGGAAGTTACGGACATCATCCTTCTCACACAGGACCTCGAACTCGTTGTAGTCGATGGTGGTGTTGGAGTCATAGTAATCGGTGACGTTGTTTCCAGCACAGACCTACAACGGGGGAGAAAAGGAGAGTATTGGGACAGGTACCATGCCCCTCGTGGTGTCGGGAGGGGGGCCTGGTGCTGCCCTGTGAGCAGGCAGGATTACCCAGCCACGGCCCGCAGAGAAGTCCCAGGGAGTTCCCAAGCGTTGGCTCATGCCAACACCATGAAGAGCTGGCAAGGTCTCATGGCCAAAACCACTTCCCATAAGTACATGGGGTTTAGGGGCTTTTTTTTAGGCTCAAAGTGGGAATTCCACCCGCACTCTTTAGTGCTCAGCCACAGTGCCACCTGCAAATCTCAAACGTGTGGCTGCTTTCCAGAGTGGTTCAGGACCCACGTGCAGCTCTTCGTACGCAGTCAGCTCTCCAAGTGTGAAAGGTAACACATCCTTCAGCGTTCTCCTTCTCTCAGCAGGGACATTTCCTCTTGACTGACTACTCGTGGCATTTGCTAACCTGAGCATTCCCTCCCTTCTCCCACCTGCAATATTCCTGTTGCTCACTCCTCACTTGTGGCAGTGCTAGAAGAGGGCTGCAGTGGTGGTGGTGGCTCCCAACAGCAGCAACCTCGCATGGGGAGGTCCCATCCTCACAGTGAGGGGTGAGCCCGGGGGTGCCTGGAGCTCCATGGGAGAATGAAGTTGGAGCCTCCCCGGGCTCTTTTCTCTGTTAAATTAATAGAGGTGTTGATGAGACTGGGAGGAAACTCGGAGTGAAGCAGGAAACTGTTACGGTGCTGGCACAGACACGTTGCCGCTGTCTCATTCAGGCTCCTGCCCCTGATTTAAGTTCTGATTAGTCTTGTTTTATCTTCCTACACTGTCTTAACACACAGGGCAGAGCGAGCCTGTGGTCTCTGTGCCCTGGTTTTTTGAGCCTTATTAGTCTCCAGTACCTTCTCTCCATCGCACAGAGATGAAAGGTTTCCCCTGGATACCTCTGCCTGTTATCACCAAGTATCTCTGCGTGCTCTCCATCTCAGGCAGGTTTGGCTTTCACCACATCCTGCCTGCTAGCTGGAGGCATGCCACCAGAAGTGAAAGGGAAAAGAAAGAGGCTGCAAAGCCCTCCCTGCTCTGCTGAGCCTCTTGGAGAGCCTGAGCTGGGGGCCGTGGTGTGGCTGAGGCTGCTCCTGTGGTTGTGAGAGCGCGAGCGCTGGGGCCAGGCTGTGGTTCAGGAGCAGGTCATGGCGCAGCTCCGTGCTCTGGGTTCTCCTTCCCCCTTCACATTCACTCTGAGCGGGAGCAGGCAGAGGAAGATGCTGAACTCCTCCTCCTTGAGCACATCAGCTCTTCAACAGTGAATGCAGTCGCTGAAGACTGAGGTCCTCAATGCTTTGACCAGGTGCTGCAAAGAGCATCGAGCTGGCTCTTCACAAGCACTCCGCATAGGATGCTCTTGTCTTCCCTGAAAATGCTCTTTTTGGTGCTAAAGGGGACTTAGTTCTAACAGTCCCGGCCACCTCAAATGGCAGTGTATGTCACTGCTGCTGTTCTCTCCTTGTCTTCATTCCTCTTGTTTTCTGTCCAGCTTTGCTCTGCTGCCTCACCGCCCACCTCCTGCTGGGCTGGACCCGTGCTGTGAGCAGCCGTGTCCCCACACATCTTTCAGGGCTGTGGGCGGTTGCTTTGTGCCTGTCAGAGCTTTCAAGATCTCTCCCTCCCCACAACGAAAACACAACTGGATTTCAACAGTTTTTAAGCTGGTTTTAACATCTTACCTGAAAAAACAGGGGCAGGCTGAGAACAAGAGCGACCTTTAACGGCTTGCCTGTAGGAGAAGGAGACACTGTGTCAGAGTGAGCAGCTCACTGGGGCTTCCCACATGATGCTCACTTTGAAAACGCAGCCGTGGCGTACCTGACCCTGCAAAACTCCCCACGGCTGGTTAACTAACGGTGAAGATGCTCACACGAGAACCCAGGGCCACATAACAGGTACTGTCAGAGCACGCATGGAGCCTCAGGAGTGTGGTCCTTCCAGTTTCGCCTGTAAAGGCTGGTAGCTCAAGAGAGCAAACCCCTGCATCTTTACTGCATGGGTGTTCTTTCCCTGCAGACAGCCAGCAGCCCGTCTCCTGTGCCTGTTCTGAGCTCAGGGTGTAGCCTGCTCGACCCATGTGAAAGCACAAAGCTGGGAGTGCACTACATTTGTCCCAGTTGCTCCCTGGCAGCGCTGCACAACAGGAAAGCTCTGCTCCCATCACTGAACCTGCCTTGAAATTTATTGCTTGTGTCTAAATGTCAGAGTTGGCTTCTGCTGCCTTTGGCTGGGGAGATGGAGGATGCTGACAGCTGGGAGGAAGAGCTGAGGTCAGAGCCAGATGTGATAATGGTGAGAGCAATCTCAGACCAACAGTTCTTCCTGCTGTGGTTAGCAGAGGCATAGGGGCCAGTGAAAACTTTCTCTTCACTCTATTTAAAGCATGTGCCAGCATCTGCCTCAGGCAGT